TATATTTGAACTGATAAAACCTATTTTGATTTGTATCGATAGAGTTCGTTTAGAGTCAAATTATATTCATCTCTCTTTATCAGTTTGTTGTTTTATTTGGATAACTATCAAGCGGATAGATTTTATTCCCAACAGTCGTCAACTTTGTAAAGTAGATCATTATGGTTTTTAACCTTTCACTATCATTACACAATTAGACTGCTCATTTTACTTTCAGAGAAGTAGACAATTGCACAGCAACTTGGATGGAAACCATCTGCACGATCATGTCTTCTATTATAACACACCAGATCATACGCAAACCTATTCCATTACCAGCATGTCAGAAACCATAAGATCATATGCGAACTTAGATCGGGGACGAGCATTGATAATATGAAGTCATACAAGGTGTGCGAAGGTAAAATTGCTTAGTAAATATATTCTTATTAAATTCCAGCAGCTATTCCACATCAGCAAAAATCGTTATCTAAGCTCATATGAATAAGAATGTAAAGCCTATAAAACATGACTTCACGACTATTGAACAAAGAACACGTGGTTGAATGGTTTGGAACTTTGGGTACAAGAAATCAAAAGTTCAGAACATAAGTGCAATTACACATTAATCCATCAAATACCACAACGTCCTTGAATCATCATTCATTCCTCTAATCTATTAAATTTAAGCACTAATATGATAAGATGTGACAGAATTTTATGCTATCAAACCTGCCCAGCCTTATTTCTTAATCTGAGTTTGAGACAGATTATGACAATCAGCAGGTCTTAATCAAGTCTTATACTCGTATAAATATTGCTGCACAGTTAGACATTAACGTAAACGGTCTAACACCATACAATCCATCAACAATATAAGAGACAACCAAAGATACGAGAAAGACCGAGTAACTTTTTGAATGTTTGATATCTATGCCCGGGAATGCTCGGAATATTTGTACTCGAAATTTTGATCAATATATTTATTTACCCAATCTAGAAAGAGAGAGAGTAACGATAACAAAAGGTATGAAGTACAGGTAATAGGCGAAAAGAAAAAACATCCAGAACTGAGAAATTATGTACATGGACAAGTAAAGATTGTTTTCACCCCTAAATAATAAATTGGGGGTCTAAAGAGACCATTAATTCTACGAAGGAAGCCAAATCCATCATGGAGTTTCCAAACGATGCATCACAAGAACATAAAAAGACACAACAGGGAATCCTCGTACAGACATTCTTGCTCAATGAACGGTAACTTATTTGTCCGACCATTTCTTCCTGGTAGCCTCTGATGCCTCATGCCTCATCCTCGAAATTTCTTGAAACCATTGCTGATAATGGGTTTCGATTGCATCAATCTCTGACTTCAGCTGGTTTTCAGGATCTTTCTCGACTATGGTTAAAGACGAACAACTGCTTGCTAAGCTCCTATATACGGAGACGGCGTTTAGATCCTCAGAGAAAACCGATTCTGACTTTTCTGTCATCCGTTTCATTGGTAGAGGTTCTACTTCATCACTAACATTTCCATGCATATTGCACTCAAAATAATATAGATCCCCATACTCCATTTCCACAACATCACCAGAAGCTTTTGAGATTCCATTGTTACCAGAATCAACCCATTGGCGAGTGTTCACATTCTTCATTGATATGTCTTCAAGCATTACCTCAGAGGTTACTGATCCTTGTGACTCTTCATGTTCTGCATTCACCGAACATGGAATCGTGAAGAATGCATCATGAGCAGAGGAAGCAAAGCTGGGGTTACCGTAGAACTTACTCCCATCAGATTGCATGCAAATTTGAGTTTCTTTATGAAATTCAGACACATGATGTTGGTCAAGCTTGAAGTTGGCTGGAGAATCTGCCAAGGGCATCCACCATTGATTTGCCACCAAGATACTTGCATTTCTTTCTCCACTGGAATGACAATCAGATGAAGGTTTCCAGTCGGGTAAAATTTTCATTATGAGGTAGTCGATGAAGTCGGCAATGAACACTACATCATGATCTGCCAATTCCAGTTGCTCAACCATCTCAGCAGCAACCGCGAGAGCAGTGTCTGAATCAAGGTAGAATGAAAAGTGTATATTCCTCACTTGGCCTGTATTTTAAACAGAAAGATCATGCACTGCTACTTTGATATGGTAAAAAACTGAGCAGAAAAAATTAATTCTAGCCCACTTACCACCCTTGTCTGTAATTCGCAAGGTCAATGAGATTGAGTTGTCATCATTTTTCTTCCCCTTCAGTCTGAACTTGTTATTCTGATGCACCCTTTGAAATTCCAGTTCTAGAGAACGTGGGCTCCCACAATTGGAGTCTGTCCACATTGACTGGTTATAATCAGGATCTATATCCATAGAATGTGGCCCAGGATTTAAAAAACTTGAAGATCTAGGAACTTCATTAGGTAATTTTAATGAAATGCGAACAGTTTCTTTTGAACTTTCAAATTGAAGAAAGGGATCTTTAAGAAGTTCCTTAGCAGACAACCTTTCAGAAGCCGTAACCAAACATTTCTCAATGAATTCCTTGACTTCAAGATCGTTCACCTTGCTAAGAGAAGCAGGTTTGACACCCTGTAATACAACATTGATTCAGATGACAGTTACATACATTTGGTTAAAATACATGAGCCAGTGAAGGTGAATGAACTTACAGAGATAACTTTCTTATAAATTTGAGCTGGGTTATTGCACTCGCAATATGGATAGTCCAGAGTAACCATTTCCAATAAGCACATACCAAAGGAATATATGTCAACTAGTTCATTGTATTCCTCTTCATAAAGCTCGGGAGCCATAAATTCTGGGGTTCCTAATAAAGAAATAAAGAAATCAAGCACTTTTCAGACAAATCATTTCTATTTGATACAATACTAATTAAAGATATTCATACCGATGACACTCTTAGCAGTAGGCTGCTGCATGATGGTCGCCAATCCAAGGTCCCCAATTTTAACTTCCCCCCGGTTTCCATTAACAAGAATATTGTCACATTTCAAGTCCCTGTGGATGACAGGTGGGTTCTGACTGTGAAGATAGTCTAAACCTTGGAGAATTTGCCTCACCCAATTCTTTATAGCTTTCATATCGACATTTTTGTGCTTCTTACGGTATCTAACAGCCAAAGCAAACAAAGCATAAGTTAGAAAATCACAATGATGGCACTAAAATTCCTACATCATCGAATAACAAGTAAATTAACTTACTGCCTCAGGCTACCAGATGTGAAAAGTTCAGTAATCATGTTTACAGTCTTCTTCTTATCATCAATCCATGAATCGTAAGACTTGATGATATTGTCATGCTTCAACTGCCTAAGAATATGAACCTCAGAGTACAATTTTTCCAGATCTTCAGGTGCCTGCAACACATCATCGATTTTCACTCGGTTCCATGCCACTTCTATTCCATCAAGTTGGTCAAATGCCTTGTAGCTACAGAAAAAGTAAAAAACCAAATTCATAAATTTTTTATACCAGTTCTCGGAGTTAATATGAAATGGATAGGCAAAGGAAGGATCAAATTTTAAACCCATACACAGTCTTGAATGCACCCTTGCCCAATATTTCGCTGTGCTGCAAAAGAAAACAAAAGGCCGTTGAAGATAAGTGAATAAAAAATAGATGAAATCAGTAAAATGGTTCACCACAAACAACACACTTGAAAATATTGTGATAAACAGTGCGTGCTAGATTTTGTATTCAAACTATGACTTTCAAGGGCATCATAGCCCTTTAAAGAAAGAGATAACCACAGTATTTCAAGATTTATGGTACAACTGAGCACATGATGAACTTGAAACCACAATTATATTTGAACCATGAGAATGAGTTCATAGTTTTCAATTATTTTCAGCTCCTGAATTTGATATTGGAATATTGAGTACAATTACATTTCCACAAAAATCTAAATATAATAGATCATGAAAATAGGTATTTCATCAAATTAAACCAATTGCAGCTTAATTGAATCATTGACAAAGTTACACGACCTTCATATGCTTATAGATCTGTCTGATAATCATCAGATCTGACAGATCATAAATGCAATCACATATGCTTCAAACAAACTCCCCCATCGTCAAATGAAACTAATGGATAATCAATACGTATTCAAAAACAAAACATCAATGTAATTCAAGGAATTTCGGAAAGGGAAAAAGAAATTAACAATATTTACCCTAACATATCGACCCTTTGGACATTTCTCCACATAATCAAGCTCCAGATCCAGAGGTTTATTGTTTCCACTATTACTTACAGAAAAAGCAAACAAATTCCCATTTCCATTCCCAGAATGAGGCAATTCGGAGGCTGCACTGGAACTCATTCCGGTAAAAAACGATGATAACAAAAACAACCGCCGCCACCACCAAACAGCAGGAGCAGAAGCAGAAGCAGAGGCAGAAACAAGAAAACTAAAGAAAACAGCAGGTAGAAACAAGAATGTAGAGAACAAGGACCCCAGAATCAAATGATTGAATTCCAGGGAAAATAACTTTGTGGGCGTTCGGAGAATGCCTCGGAAGCAATGGAATAGGAATCGAAAGGTGATTGTTTGCGACTTAAACAAGATCGACATTTCTGACTGACATTGTCAACATCAACAGCAACAATCGCCGCATCCAGATTTCTCAACGACGAAAAGTAAAAGGTAAACAACAACGAAGAAGCTAATTTTCTTGATGATCCATTATGACACGAATACAAAGGAATTCGTGTCATTACCATAATCCCTCTTTCCATCAAACTACCACAAGCAGCGCGATAAAAATCAGAATAAGATCTGATTCATTCATTCATCAATTCATTGTTCAGTCACCTCTCAACAACAAGAACAGAAGATAACACCATTTCCTGTTGTGAGAAATCCGTAATCATACAAAATCAAGGAACTATGAATAGAAAAAGAAAAAAAAATGGTTGGATTTATCTAAAAAATGGAAAATCAATAAGGAAAATTTGTGGGTTCATATAATTTAGGAGAATGAAGAAGAGATTAAAGGGGCAAGGGGGGCTAAGAAATGGAAAAAGAACGGATTATAATAGAGATTACGGATCCAAAGCGAAAGAAAAGCGTGGAACAGACACTTGTTCGGTGGGGGGCTCGAATTTAATGCGTATCATCATAAAAAGCTGCCTTTTGTTGAATTGATACAATCAAACTTCAAACATAATTAATGCAATTCCGAATGACGCGTCCTATTATTTATCGGAGAACAATGTCACGCGTACAGATCACTGTTATACAAGATGCTTACGGGCCTCCTCGCCGTAGCTATAGGTCGGTGGGACCGACCTACATTAACATAAAAATAAAATTTGTATGGGCTTTGCCTTTGTGTCTGCCTTGACCGACCTCCATAATTGCCCTCTGTACGTGAAGCGCGATCTTTTATCGAATGCTTAAATAAATGTTCTCCTAATAAATAGAGAAGGGAAAAGTTTCTATTACACCAAACAATTCCCTCACATGAGGGGAGGGGCCATAGCCCCTATTTGACATACAATAAAAAGAGGTTTTTTTTTTTTTTTAGGAAAATGAGTTTTGAATAGTGAGTTTTTGGAAATGTCGTTACAAAATGTTGGTGTATGTGAGTGAATGTGCAAATTATATTCTAAAATATTAGACAAAGGAAATTACTTGAAATGCAAAAACGAATTGCAGAAAATGAAGAATGCAACAATGAAATTATATATCGAGGCTAGAGTTTAACTCTATCTCTTTAAGACAATCATCTCTTAAGATACAACGATTTTCTCGTTGTAGTAGAAGCACTTCATAAGGTGAGAAACAACAAAATCAAAATTGTGTTGCACTCTTTACTTTGAATGCGTTTTGATACAAGAAAACTTTGATTTATGCAATGATTTGGTGTAATGTAATCAATGCATAAGATTATGAATGTTTAAAAATCATCAAGGGGTCCAATTTGTAGAGATTGAGAGGTTGTGGTCGGAGAGACGCCAAAAAAATTAGCACGTTTCATGAATAGTCATACCCGTTCAGACTGCTCGTTGTTCGCCCGCTTGACCGCTCGAGCTGTCAGCCTATTTTTATTTTCAATTTATTTCATTTATTCAACCTTACTTTTATACTTTAATTTCTTATTCATCCGAAAATTGTTTTACAAATCCAGATATACAGCAATCATGTATTCAAGGAGTAGAACTCATTTGTCTATTCATATATATGAATTGACTATCGAAATATATCTGAATATTTGGTCGAATTTGATACAAAATCAATTTCATTAAGCAAAAAATAATTTCCCACATTAATGAAAATTATCAGAATGCGATATTCCTTGAGGAAGTTGAGTTTGAAAGTGGAGATAAGGCCATTAGAAATGTTGTCTTTTAAGAAGAACTTAATTTCTCTTCCTAGTAGAGCTATAAACAATGATCAGCTTTCTAACATTGTTCTAGATGCAATCTAATACAACAATGAACAACTCTTACTTAAAATCAAGAAGTTGCTTCTAAAGAGCAAACACAACAACTTCAAGATAAAGTGCTAATAAGGTGATCTACTAGAGATAGAAGAAGTGCGATTTTAAGTGACTATATCGTCTTTCTTCAAGAATATAAGTTTGATATAGGGTTTATGGAAGCTGAAAAAAGTCCTAATTCTCAAAAGTGGATTGATGCAATGAATGATAAGATAAATTTCCTAAAGGACAATGATATTTGGGATCTTGTCAAGTTGCTTCAAGTTATGAAGCCCATTGGTTACAATGGATATTTAAAATCAAAAGGGATTCAAAAGGTAATGTTGAAAGATATAAGGCGTGTCTAGTGGCTAAGGGTTTTACCCAAAAGAAAGGTATTGATTACAAAAAAGACTCTCTCTCTCTCTCTCTCAAGTTCAACAAAAGACTCTTTCAAGATAATAATAGTATTTATAGCTTATTTTGATTTAGAGCTATATCATATTAATGTAAAGACTACTTTTCTCAATGGAAATATCAAGGAAACCATGTATATGGTTCAGTTAGAAAACCTTATGTCAGGTCATCCAAAGTCTGTGGTCTATAAACTAAAGAAATTCATTTATGATCTCAAGCAAGTTTCCCGTTAATGGTATCACAAATCTCATCAAGTCATTATCTCATATGGTTTTGAGGTAAATGCAGTTGATGATTGTATATATCGCAAGTTCAATGAAAGTAAATTTATATTCCTAGTACTTTATATTGATGATATACCTTTGGTCAGTAGTGATATAGGCTTATTGTATAAAGTGAAGAGACTTTAAACTAAAAATTTGAAATGAAAGATTTTGGAGATGCTTGTTTTGTATTAGGAATTAAGATGCATCGACATTTCTCTCGAGGAATTCTTTGTTTATCACAAAAGAGTTAAATTGCAAAGGTAATTGCTAAATTTTGCATGAAAGATTGTGCACAAGGAGATACTCCCATTGTTAAGGGTGACAAGTTTAGTCTCAATCAATATTCCAAGAATGAGATGGAAAGGAAACAGATGCAAAATTCTCTTTATGCTTATGCTATGGGAAACTTAATTATGCTCAAGTATTTACACGTCCGGATCTAATATTCATATTAGGAATGTTAGGCAAGTATTTGAATAACCCAGAACTGATCATTGGAAAGCTGCCAAATGGGTTAAAAGATATTTATAGAGAAGAAAAGAATAAAAGCTCACATATTGAAAGTCATATAATCTGGAGATCGGTATATTCTAATTCTTACCTTATGGGATGCCAAGATACTAAGAAATCTACTCCGGGCTATGCCTACCTCCTGGCAGGAGGTGTTGTTTACTGGAAGAGTACTAAGCAATCACTCATAGCTTCTTTCACCATGATAGTCGAATTCATAGCTTGTTATGAGGCAACAAAATTAGCGACATGACTACGAAATTTTTTGTCACATGGCTGCAAATTGTAGAAGGTATTGAAAGACTACTTAAGATTTTCTTATTTTTAATTTTTTTACAATAAATCAACAGCGCTATATTCGAATAACATAAGCTCTTTGAAGTCGAAGCACATAGACATTAAGTTTTTAGTTGTTAAGGAGATAGTTCAGAGTCATATAGTGTCTATAGAACATATATAAACAAGTTCCATAATTGTGGATCCATTCACTAAATATTTACCACCTAAAGTCTTTCATGAGCATACAGCTCATATGAGTGTGGTTTATTCAATAATATGCTATTTTAGTGGAAACTTGTGTTCGTTGGATATTTTGTACATGTTTATGACATTTATATGCATATTGGGGATTTTTGCAGCATAAAGTAGATTATTTAAATTTTGAGTACTCTGGACATATTCTTTCAATTTTGGTCCAAACATAAGATTGAAAAGACTAAAGATTGATCTCACTATGGTATAAAGAAAGACCAGTTCGAAATAGGCATGTTTGAGAACAAAATTGCATGTAAATTCTTACTACACATTCAAACTTGATTTATGTCGTTGAATATATTTGGTATAGTGACCATTGATGGATCTAGTTACGAAACAAGTGTATCGAAGATCGCTTTGATCTCATGCAAGTAAAGGAGATGGACCATATTATAATTGAGGAGATGTTTCAAGACAATACAGCAAATTTAGTGTATACTTAAGGTTAAGGAATACAATTATCTTCAAAAAGCATATGTAGCCAAGTGGAAGATTGTTGGGATATTATTTCCTATGATGGGCTTATATGTTTAATCAACCGAGCTATCTAATATTTAAGTAGGCTTTGCAATGTGCGTTACACATTAATAGACTAAGGTTAATGAGACTCCTTCCATGTTCTTAATTGCTTTTTTCAAATTATTGATGCATGTTTCATTTGGTTACATCGTCGTACTAGTCCATGACATGCTTTTCTATATAATTTTTGCTCATAGAAACATCAACTATACACTGGGCCACTGGCATAAATTGGCCTTGAAGATGCATTCGTAAATTTATGAACATATTTCTCTTATGAACTATTCTTAAAAAATGATTTCCATCGGACACTCCCACTATGTCAACCCTAAACAGTTGTACAATTAGATAACTTATCTTCTTCCATTAGAAAAAATGAACTCCTTTTGTGGATGATTAGGGAATCTATAATTGGTTGACATGGTGGGAGCGTATTGACGATTGAAAACAGCTCTCCCGCAATAGAAAGTGCAAAACAGTTGTACCTGTGGTGCTGTAAGTCCATCTTTTGCTTTTTCTACTCTTTTTTGTTTGTTGTTGAATGGTATTCTTCTGTTTCTTTTTTTAACTTTGAATGGAGATAAATTTGTGCCTGTGCTTTGGAGGTTAGGGAATTGGTAAATCTCCTCCCTTTCTTACTAGAAATCATTGATCGAAGAATTTTTTGCCTACAAAGTGTGGTAGAAATTGGAATGTTACATGCAACTATTACAAAACTATACTATTTAATTATGTGCTTTAGTTTAAAAGAAAGGTCATCATTTCCTGACTTGACATCTATTATTCAAAAAAGAGCTGCATTTATTTAATTATGCGTGTCTTTGAAAATTAAAAGATCAATATAAGTCTGAAGTACTTCTACTATGATGAAGCAATAGGAGGTAACCTATCAAACTATATAACAAAACCCAAGAAAATATGGGAAAAGTTGTTTCTAACGATTGGATTTGAATGGAAATACGAGAAAGTGAAAGAAACATATTAAGGGGTAAAAAATTTTAAAATCTATACATCAATTGACTTCCTTTTGAATATATTATTGACAATTTCATTGGATATACGTGTGAATATGGTGGCGAAAAAATGAGATTGACTCTTCCACTTTTTCATTTTGCACTCTCTCCTAGAATTAAGCCCTCGTTTGATGGGCATTTTTTTCAAAACTCTATCTCCAACATGTTCATTTTCAACCACCTATTCATAAAACAAAACATTCTACATGTAAATTTAAAAAAATTTCTTACTTTTTAACCACACAATTTCAAAAAAAACCCACTATTTAAAACATTTTTATCCTTAATAATGACCATCAAACATGGTCTCGTAGCTTTTATGATAAGTATATTATTTTTAATGTGCATGACATTTTGTTTTATTATACATATTAATACACACTTGTGATTCGGAGCAAATTTAATTAATACTCATTAAACTTAAATATTGTTACTACTTATTTACTCATCTTTTCGTGGGTTACCCATCTTTCAAATAAATTACTCGT